CATAGCAGTGCAATTCACAATTGCAAAGATGTGGAAACAACCCAAGTATCCATCAATACATGAGTGAATTAATAAACTTTGGTATATGTATACCATGGAGTACTACTCAGCCATAAAAAATGATGAATTAATGCCCCTTGTACTATCCTGGAAGGAGCCTCCATTCTTCTAAGTGAAGTATCACAGGAATGCAAAAACAATCACCACATGTACTCACCATTAAATTGGTACTAATTGATCAACACTTAAGTGTACAAAGGGAAGTAACATTCATAGGGCTTTAAGCAGGTGGCAGCGGGAAGAAGGGATGGGCAAATTCACAACTAACAGGTACAGTGCATTATGTCTGGGGGTCAGGCATGCTTGTAGCTCTGACTTGGGCATTGCAAAGGCAATATATCAACCGATATATTAATCTTTTAAGCATTTTCATTAAAAGATAATGGAATTAAGTCTTCACAAAAAAGGTTGTAAAAAGCAATATATGACTCAAAAAGATAATGAAATTGTTAGAAAAATCGTATTCATCGAACAAAAATTTCTTCATAGTTTATTTAATGTAGGTATTAAATGACTATTCACTATCAATCTTATAACAGGTTATATCAATGGTTCAAGATTGTTCATTAATTGTCACCAAGAGGAGAAAACAGAAATTCAAAATGTTCATCTGGATACACAACCAGAGATTTAAAACAATACTACAGCATTTAAACCATTTCCAATAGACATATACCACCTAGCTGGCCATCTTCTGCCATAAATCTCATTATTAAAAGAAAATAAATGTTTCCACTGAGATGTCAAACCATTAGAAAATCATAACTTCAGTTTCCAAGTTGGCCTATGGCTACTGAATTCTCCATGATAATAGATGCAAGGAATGAATTATAAGTGTTCTTTCTTTGAAACGTGTAGGGTAATGTGGCTATTTCTTGTCTAGACTTCCATTTCAAAACAGGAGCACTTGTTAGTAAAAAAAAAAAAATCAAGAATAATATTAAATTGTTTTGTAAAATTATATCAGTTCCTCTGACTGCTCTGGTTGACAGTTAATGAGCGACCAAAAAAAGTGAAGTTGAGTCAAACAAGAACACAGAACTCTGGGGCACAAAAGGACCCTCAGCTGCACAAAGGAGACACACAGAAAGGGCTTTGCCACAGAGTACTCTAGAGATAGAATGAAATGGTACAAAATTTAAACCCAAAACAAAAATAAAATTTTATTTGCCTGCTCCCGTATTAATTTTTTTTACCACATCTGATCCATGGACAAATGTACACTTTTCTTAAAACTAGTTAATAAAGTATTAACAGATGAAATATTAAACTTCTTCCACTCAAAAAAAAACACCTTATTAAGGCTTTTATATATCAATTCTTACATATTAATTTTATTTACAGCCTCAGGGTTTTTTTTCCTGCAAACTTCCTAGTGAAGTTATTAATCATAAGTTAAGTACCTTAAATGGCAAGCAATTACAGAGAAGAAATAAATAAATAAATAAATACTCAGAATATTGAATTAATTAATCAATTAATTGGCTGTAGAATATTATATCCTCAAAAAGTTAAAACTCATATTTTTGTTAGCAAAGTAACCTTGTGTGTGAATGAACTAAAGATGATAACTTTTTAGCTAATATAAAGCAAAGCAATCTACTATAATGAAGTATATAATCCATTAATAGAAAATACAGAGATCCTATAAAATAATTTGCCAAAAATGCACAAAAAAGGGAAAGATATAATGTCTTTTTGTAAGATTTAACAGTTGAGCAGAGACTACCATTATGTGTACAAGTACATGAACAGGGAACCTGTAAACAAGGCAACAATTTCCCTATCCTCTGAGAAAACTACTAATTAATTTAATTAATAAGTATGCTTTTTAAAGAATCATAAAACAAAAATAAAAACTGGTTTTACTAAATTATTTTAGCAAAAGTGGGATGAAATGGGTCCTTTTTTACTTTGCAGGTGGACATGTAAATTGGTAAAAACTTTTTTGGAGAGAAATTGGGTTTATTAAAAATAAATAGAAATTTTGGCCTAGTATCTTTAAAAAAATTATCATATACTTTGAACTAGTAATTTCTCAACTGGAAACTCTTTAAAACCCCATATTAGAGAAAAGGTTTTAAGTTCAGAAAATGTTATGACACCATTATTTATTAAAAATAGTTCAAAATAGATACATAGCTAATTAACAGTATATTATGCAACTATTAGAAAACATAAAAAATTGTAATAATATGAGAAATGTTGATATAATAATATAAACTAGACAACACACTACTTGTTTGTACCCTATGATTGCAACTATTTTTTTTTAACTTACTAGTATAAAAGTACTGAAAAAATAGGTAGAAATATCGGGGTTTTCTTTGCACTCCTCTTACTATTTCTTTGACTTTATGAATTATCGAGAAATAGTATATAATACCTGAATGATGGGGAAAATATATGTTTTACTTTAAAGTAAATAAGGAAACCACTAATAATAGTGATACAGACTAAAATTCTGAGTCGTCTGATATTTGTGCATATGCAAGTCTATGGGCACACACACTCACACACACACACACATTTCATTATGATGAAAAACAGTGCAAATATAAAGCAGTCGCCCTGAAGAACTGCCAAAAGTTATGCACAAAACAGAATAAATAAGAAAGAAAAGGAGGGCAAAATCTCCCATTAAAATGAAGCCTGATTTAAGTATTCTGTTTCCAAAATTCTAACTTTTACTAGTCTCCAGTATTAGAGAATCTGTCACACTGGAAAGATAAAAGTTTGACCCACATGTCAAATTCTATTAAAATTCCATATTTCTTTGAAGAAAATGGCTAACTTTCCAAACTTGGGATTTTACCCAGGATTCAGGGACTTTTACTGGTAGTATATGGGGCCTTTGTTCCAAACAAATACTCTCTCAAAACCATCAAAACCATATTTAAAATGATCATTCAAAGTGGGGAGGACTAGTCATTTCTAATCACTCTCACTATTTTACTCAAATCCAACTAGGTTTTTAGAAAAGAAACAACTCAAATGAATTTCATATTCCACTCGTATAAAAAAATTTAATACATTGAGGACATGTATTTGGAATTCAAAATCTTCTCCCCTTTTATATGATTTAGATTAAAATCACATGCAAATTGAAGACCCTGAGAACTACAATTGAAGTCCCTGAGTGATTGCTGCTATAGAAAAGCATTATCTCATCAATTGTATAGTGTGATTTGGAAAAAAATCATGATTGAGATAATGACAAAAATGATCAGATTCCAAAATCTAATTAACATGAACAAAACCACCTTGGTAAAAGCAAGTAAGCTAGTGTTTGTTTTTATTAAGAACCCCCCCCTCCAAAAGAGTAGTACATAACTAATATAATCTATTCCATAATCTATTTTTAAATGTCTAATCTAAACAATTTAAATGACCTTATTATTTTAATGTATTAAGTAATATATCTCTGAGTTTCTAAAAGACGCCATTCCATTTATCACTTTGGACCAGTCACTGCAATTAAATCAATTTCTGAAAACAATTTTTCTTTCAGTATTATTCATCTGAAGTTAGCCATGAGGAACATGGTGGTGGGCTGGAGGGAGGGGTGCACTAATGGGGTAGGAGAGGAGCAATTAGCATCCCAAACAAGTTTACCTCAATTGTCAGGTTTTCTTTCTTGAAATAAGATCTTTATAGTTGATATTATGGCAGTGAGTAGCAATGAGTTAATCACAGACAGTTTTTCTTATTATAATTTATTTCTGAGTCAAGGTCCAATTTCTAAAAGCAAACAGTTCATAAATTTTCTGCAAAGGTTTTATAGTTTTATAGCTCAAACAGGAAAGGTATAAAGCTTCAGGATCAATAACATCTGTTTAGTCCAAGGAAAAGCTCCACCATTTATGTGGCTGAATGATTATAATATTTTCTTTTGATTTTGATAAACATAGTAAATACATTCTAACCACTGATTGACATCAGAACAAATCAGTAGGTGTGCTCCAATCCAAAATCTCTTATGTATTAATTTCTGTGGAATAAAACAGTGCTCAAACTGAGAAAGATAATGTTGGCATGATTCCCCTCCTGCAAAAAACCATAATCAGTATAAAAATTCTCTGATTTCCCACATCCATTCAGCTCCACCCCATTAGAATAGCAATCAAAGTTTTATTTTCCTTTTTGCTTCACATTTCTGGCAAAGATATGTACAAAGGCAGCAATTTGAATCAATGAAGGCTATTAACTGATGCATGGGATTTTTTTCTTTATACCACTTTAATTCCTGGTTATTCTACTTCTCTCATATTTTTAAAATTTTATTTCTCTTTTAACATATTTAAATTATGTTTCTATTTATCATATTTCTCACATTTCTTTTTTAGCCATTTCATTTCCTGTCCACGGTCTCTCACTTTCAATTATAAAAATCACTTGACTGGATTTTTCATTTCAATTTGTAATTGGCTTTGCAGGATATAGTTGTTAATTGCTTTTCCGTATGTCAATGGTTTCTTCCATTCTTTTTCACCCTTCCTGTATTTTCTTCCTCTTCTATGGAGAAAACATCATATTTCTTGGTCGTCCTAATATTTCTCCATAATCTTCACTTACCATTCTACAGAAACTCCTTTACTCTTACCTAAAGTCTTAAGACATATTGTAAATTCTTTCTTCATGCCACCGCAGAGGAAAATGAACATCAATGATATCTAAGAAAGATTGTCCTGTAGTCATGGGCAAATACTAAGACCTTGAGGAGGCTAAATGATAGCAAAAACACCAGAATAATGAATATTTGCATCACAAGAGCCAGGAATATAGAAAATGAATGAGTCAGGAATATAGAAAATGACTTTTTCCCTAAAAATTCAGATACATATGTATATGTGTGTGTATATATGTATGAGCCTGTATGCATATATTTGTGTATATATGAATATATAGTCTGTTTTTAAATGTCTAATCTAAAAGTGCTATTTTAAATGACCTTATTCTTATATATATAGATAGATAGATGAGAGAGAGAGCAAGATTAGGACTATTAGGCAACTTTGTTTCAAGTCCCACCCCACCACCCATTCATTTGAAGATATTGGAGATTTGCCCAGCTAACTACAGTTGTTCCCACGTTTATGAAATGGCAACAAGAGCTATCCCTACTTACTTATATGGTCATGGTAAAGATAATGCATATGAAATGAGAATCAGAAGAACTGGCACATAGTACCTAACTAATCAGTATATGTCAGCCATTGCCGTTATTGTCATCAGTATTATAATGAGGAAAATAATTTGTTAACATAACTTGGAAAGAGGAAAGAATTTAAGTTTCATGTAAATAGCTATTTATTTCATTTACTTAGCAAATAATTTCTGAGAACCTAATATGCTCCCAGCCCTAGCCCAAGTTAGATGCTTGGGACACCTAACCTCACAGAGTTTACAAGCTAGCAGTTTTAGATAAAACCAAGGACCTGCTCGAGATTAAAATTTCTGGTGCCAGCATCATTGTTACAAATATTAATTTATTATTTTTATTCTTCATGTATATCAGTACTATATATATTTAAATTAAGTTGAAAAAAAGTAATTTAGGAAAAAATGGGTGTTCACAAATTTGCTGGTAGATTTTGTTGATTTTGAGGCTGTTATGGGATATACAAGTGGACTGAATTTATAGGGATTAAATTTCAGGAAAGGAAAAGGTTATGGAGTCGCCAAGCTAATGTTAATTGAAGCCATGGAAATTGATGAAACGGGCTCATCAAGAGTACATGTGGAGTATATTCCACATACAGCATAGTCACACAAGCCTTTGGCGACCTTAGAAAGAGCAGTTTCAGACAAGCAGACAAAGCAAGCAGCGTGTTGAGGTGCAAATGCCCATGAGAGAGAATATAGACAAGACTTGGAAATGGTTAGCTGTGAGAAGAGATAAGAGTTACAATACAGCTAAAAGTGAACTTGGAATAAAGGGAGGATTTATGCACATAAGCATTTTTGTTTGAAAGGGAAAGGTATTTTGACTTGTTTAATCAGGAAAGAGGGAGAAGGCTGAACATGAAAAAGAAAATGTCATTTCAATTAGGGCTCTTAGAATATGCCCATGTGCAAGATTCAGAGTATGCATGAAGGCATTGGTTTATAGAGGAAAAGATATCATCAGAAGGGAAGGATAAAAGGATTTGGGGTACAAGTTAGCAGGAACCTCCTAGTTCCTATCTCACAGATGCTATGTTCTCTGCACATCAACTATTAAAAAGGAAGAGAGAAGAGTGGTGGTGGGGTTAGAGCATGGGAAAGTAGAAAAAGTCTGATGTAAAACCATGAGGAATAGAAGAAAGATACTTGTCCACAAAAGCAGATGAGTTGCTTGGCATAGTAGAGAGCTCAGATGAGCTTGTCATGTCAAATGCTCACCCTGTTCGCTTGGCATGTATCATCTCTGAGCCTCATCCAGAAGGACTTTGGCAAACCTCCCTTCTTTTCACCTTCCAATAAAGGGTTAACTCCAGGTTATTTTATGTTGTATTTCCAAATTTTCTTGAACAAAGTATATCGATTTTAAATTCAGATTAATTGTTTTAAACATGACTGAATCAAACATAATACTGTATGATTAAAATCTCAATGAATTTTTAGTTAACATACCTTGAGTATGTCTAAAAGGATTTGTAACATCCTTCCCTCCTATAAATGAATGATGATGCAAGATTGCCAAATCTTTGCACTCATACATATAGACAGAGCAAAGAAGGAAAACACAGTGGAGTGGAAACCCAAATAATTTTGCTCTAAGCCAGATGCATGTTACTAGGGGAAAAAAAATTGTTTGTGGTCCTGATTAACAAGGATAACTGCTCAACTGACACTCTGCATTTTCTCTCTCTCTCTCTTTCTCCCTCTTCCCTCCCTCTCTTGCAGTTGGACCCTTTTGTTTCCAAGATACCTTCTAGTTTAACTCTGTGGCTCACTTGGGTGTCTCTGATACTGTCTGAGGTTGCCTGGCAACATGACCGATAGAATACTCACCAGTCTGTGTGGTAGCTGTATTTTTTGGCTTGCAGGTGGGAGATTTGGACAGAATTTTATGAGGTTTTCACATTGCAATTCTATTTAATTTCAGTGGATGTGTAATTAAGTTAATTACTTGTAGTAGTATTATTATAGTTTATTTCATTTTCTAGTATTGTTTAGAGGTTTGGGGTTTTTTTGTCATAATTATTAATACTTCTAGAATATTTTAAAAGATTAAAATTACCCTTCAAGATATTTAGAGTTCACTTCATAAAGTGATAGTTTTTCAAGTTCACTATCATAAGGTCAAATTTTTAAAAATTATTAAAAACCGTGTATATACACATGTAATGAGTGTGGTATGCACTGTCCAGGGGATGGACATGCTTGAATCTCTGACTCAGGTGGGGCAAGGGCAATATACATAACCTAAACATTTGTACCCCCACAATATGCTGAAATAAAAAAGAAAAATGAAGAAAACATTGAAGTAAACAAACAAAAAAACTGAAAAGTTATTGATGGGGAAGAGATGTAAGGGGAACTTCTTTGAGACTGGAAATGTTCTATATCTTCATCAGGGTAGGGTAGCAGTAACTCAGATGTATATATACCATGTAAACATCTATTAATCTGTATACTCAATATTAGTGCATTTTACACAGTTTAATATACATATGGTATATTCAACTCAAATTTTTAAAGGTGGTGACAATATGAATAAATATGTGCACACATATAAAAGCTTGGTATATGTTAGTTTGAGGACAAAAATAATATCTATGCTTTTATCACAGAACATAACATCTTCTTAAAGACTAGGCATTTCTGTTACATTTAATCAGTTTAACAATAGAGACTATTTTGCCATATGGCAACCATGCTTTTACTAATAACTTTCTATTTATAGAAAGGGAGACTTAACTGTCAATTCAGATGAGCAAATTAGAGAGAGCAGACAGCACTAATAGCCACACACTGAAAATATAATCTGCCATTTGTTTCAGCCTCAGTGGATCACAAGCAGAATGCTACAGATGTAAAGAAAGATCATATATGGAAATTTAACTCAATGAAACATTTCATATACAAAGTCATAGATGTGCCTTGCTTGTCTGACCACTTCAAGGTCAGTCACTAGAGCCCCACCTGCCACAATTTCCTATGGCATAATGTAGCCAAATAAATAAATTGGAAAAATCTAACACAAACTTTAAAACAAAAGTCCTTGATAGCTTTGTTTATTGTGCTTTATGTTTTTAAACTTTATTTCATATTCTCCATACCAGAATGTGAGGGCATTTTCTGTGCTTTTTTGCCTATTGGATATGCTAAAGAGCTAAGCATCAAACATGGACGTTTTTTAAAGATAGTTATTATCATGCCCTTTTACAGCTGGGAGAGTAGTACCAAATAAAAACCTTGTTTGAAGTCACATAGTAATTTGCTGAACTGAGATCACAACCCAGTTCCATATGATGCTAGAACCTGGGCACACTATCCCACCCCATCCTGCCTCAGAAATCAGATTACCTAATGTAATTCCTGTCCTCTTATGACTGTAATCGCTAAGAGCTCACCCAGTAACTATCTTCCCTTTCATCCTTATTAGGTATCCAACAGACCAGGTGTATGAGGAGCTACAACACTACATGTAACAGCTTCTTTTGCAACTAAGAGTAATGATAGCTAGATAGAGAACATTGGGCAGAGCTTCCAGGGAATCTCTTTGAGGAGAAATAAATCAGCTGGTAGCAGGCCCTTTGTCAGTGCATTTTTTAGTTTTTGCATTCTTGCCTTTTAGAACACAAATGTGATGGGTGGGCTGCAATATTCATCTTAAACTATCGGAAAGCTCTTGAGGATGAAGTCGTATGGCTAAGATGGTGGAACAGGACTACACAAGGAGAAGAGTTTCCTAATGACCTAGGAGCTATGATTCCAGCCCTACAATGCCAGTGACCAGGTTTCCTTTATGCAGATTTCTGGGGTTACTAAGCAAAGAGATGAACTAAATTTCAAGGAGCCACTCTGAGGAAAGACAGGACATATGAACCATTTTACCTTTGACAGAATGAATATGAGAGGAATGGATGATCACCATGAAAGTGGGTAAGAAGAAAACAACTGAAATTGTAACAAATAATTAAGGGCCAGAATGGGCCAACAGAACAGTATAGACACTCTGAGTGGATATCCACTCTGAGTGGATACTACACCATCCACACACACACAAGGGGATATGCATTCATTCAAAAAATGCCTTACAAATAAAGACTGAGGCCAGGGAATAATTCACAGAGAGCTCTTTGGTAGCAAAAAGGCACAAAATCCTTCCCAATTCCCCAGATCCTTCTCTAATATTATACAAATCAAAAGTTAGCCTTTAGGATCAAAACCTTCATACTCCAAGGTCCTGGGAAAGATGCATAGTTTCTGGAGTAGTAGAAGCAAAATTCCAGGGCCCCTGCGGGAGGGACAGGTAACTTTGTTGCATCCAGAACTCCACACTGACACAAAACATAGATCTGCTAACACTGGGGTAAGAGCAGGACACCCTCTCCATATAAAGAACCCCAAAGATTCAAGGAGCTTGAGCACCATGGGAGGAATGGGCAGAAATGCTGAAAGAGCCATACACCTGAGGTCCAGGAATACAGGCTGTGTCTAAGATAAAGACTGAAGAAAAGGAACCAAGAACCCTCCTGTTTCCACCAGGAATACTGCACTAACAAGCGGCAGCATGTTAGCACTGGGGGAGATGCAAGAGTGTAATAAGAGGCCTCCTCCCTTATGGGAGCATGCAAGAAACACTGAAAGGGCTGCAGAAAAGCATTGAGAAAAATCCTCTGGCACCCCAGGTCCCACATTAAGCAAGAAGTTTGTGGGGGAAAAAATCAACATAAATCACCAGACTAACAAAGTAAAAGAGAACAGTCATTTGATAATCTCAACAGATGCAGAAGCATTTGATAAAAATCCAAAACCTGTCTATGATTAAGAATCCTATCAAAATCAGAATAAAAATAATTTTTCTCAATGTAATATATGCTATTTACAAAATGACTACAGTAAACATCATTTGTAATAGTAAAATGATGAGTGTTCCCTTTGATTTGAGAATAAGACCAAACTGTCCACTCATCCCACTTGTACTCAGCATTGTTCTCAATATTCCAGACAAGTCAGTAAGACAAGGAAAATAAAAGGATAACATTTTAAAAGTATTAAAAAATAATATCTCTGTTCACAGAAAACATGAATCTTTATGAAGAAAATTCAAAAGAATCTACTGAAAAATTATTGTACTTAATATGTGAGATTACAATCTATTGTATGCAAACTCAATATAAGAAATGCATTTTTTCATACAAGGAACAAAGAAAATAAAAAATTTTTAAAAGATGTATCTTAATATTATTAAGCTGCATAAAACTTCTAGGCACAAATTAACTAAAATATGCAAGACCTCTATGCAGAAAACCATAAAATGTGATTGAGAGAAGTTTTAAAAGGCTGAAAGAAGTGAAGTGTAGTAATCACCTGTTATCTGTGGTTTCACTTTCTGTGCTTTCCATTACCCGTGGTCAACCATGGTCTGAAAATATTAAATGGAAAATTCTAGAAATAAACAAATTTATAAGTTTTAAATTGCTGCCATTCTGAGTATTGTGATGAAATCTTGATGTATCCTGCTCCGTCCACCTAGGACCTTAACCATCTCTTTGTCTAATGTATCCAGGCTGTCTACACTACCTTCCAGTTAGTCACTTAGCAGCTTTCTGGGTTATCAGATTGGCCGGTGCATTATCACAGCCCTTGAGTTCAAGTCACCCTTATTTTACTTCATAATGGCCCCAAAGCACAAGGGTATTGATGTTAGCAAGTCAGATATGGCAAAGAGAAGCTATAAGACACTTCCTTTAAGTGAAAAGACGAAGGAAGGAAGGAAGGAAGGAAAGAATCATATGCTGAGGTTGCTACAATACACCATAAGAACAAATCTGTGAAATTATAAAGAAGGAAAAAGAGATTCATGCTAGTTATGCTGTTGCACCTGAAACTGCAAAAGTTGTGGCCACAGTCATTTACCTGACTTCATCACATCACATAGGTATTGTATCATCTCAAATCATTATAAGAAGAGTAAGTAGAGTACAATAAGATATTTTGAGAAAAAGAGAGACTACATTCAAATAACTTTTGCTACAGGATATTGTTATAATTGTGCTATTATTAGTTGTTGTTAATCTCTTTCTATGACTAATTTATAAATTAAACTTTATCATAGGTATGTATGTATAGCAAAAAAACATAGTATGTATAGGGCTTCATACTATCTATGGTGTCAGACATCCACTGGGGGTCTTGGAATATACCTCCTGTGGATAAGTGCTGGATTAACTATGTTCATAGATTAAAAGAGTTAATATTATAAATTATGCCCATTCTTTAAACATTTACTTAACAATACATTGAATGCCATACTAACTAAAATCCTCTGTTCTTTTTTTAACTTAACAAAGTAATTCTAAAACTCGCATGAAATAAAGCAGTTAAGATGTGCTTGAATACAACCACAGAGGAAGAATTTGTTTTAATAGAGATCAAGGATAATTAAAAAGTAACCATAGTTAAAATAGTGTTACGAGTAGTAAGAAGAGACTAATAAACCAATTAAGTAGAAGAGTTGTGCCCCAAAAGACCAACACATGTATGAAAATTTGATTTAAGGTAAATAGAGTGTTGAAGACTAGTGAGCAAAGGAGATAATTTTCAGTGTGATTCTAGAACAACTGGATATCTACTTGGAAGAAAAATAGAACTCAACTTCTACCTCAGCTCATTCACCAAATCAATTGCCATTGGAAATGAACTTTAATAGGAAAAAGAATGATTAAAATTAAAATTAGAAACATCAAAAAACTCCATTAGGAAATTGCAAAAGCAAATCATAGAAAGGGTGAAGATATTTGTAACATGTTTAACCGACAAGAAGCTCTTAATCCAAATATAACTAATTTCTGAATATTAACAATTTAAAAAAATGCAATAGAAAAATAGGCAAGACATTTGAACAGGCTATTTACAGGCAATAATATCCATATGGCAATTAAATCACATGACATAACCAACTATATTATTGAAAAAGGAAATGTAAACCAAACTTTGAAAAGAATGGCTAACATCGAAAGGACTGATTATATTAAGCTTAGGTAAAGATGAAACAATGGAAATCTTACACACTACTGACTGGATTGTAATTAGTATAACTGCATTGGAAAACTGGCAGTATCTACTAAAATGGAAGATTTGCATGGAATATAACCTAGAAATCCCATTGATAAGCGTATGTCCAACAGAAATGCATGTGCGTATGCAGCAACAAATATTTAAAAGAATGTTCATGGCAACATTTTTCATAATGGCTCAAACCTAGAAATAGCACAAATGTCCATCAACAATGCAATGAATAACTACACTATAGTATTTTTATACAACGGAATACCATATAGCAATGAAAATGAGTGAACCACACAAAAACATTAGTGAAGCGTGGGTATTTATTTCAAAAAATTGTTTTGTGCCTTTAATGCTTAAAAATTCATGAAAAGCTTGAAATGGCAATAATTCCGTAATTAAAATTGATATGTTAAAAACTATTACATATAAGATAAAATTTAATGAACAGAACTAACATTTATTGAAATGTACTGATTCAAGAGCCATTATGAGTGCCTTAGCTATTTGATCTTTACAATATTCAGAAGACATAGTACTATTACTATTAATATCACATTTCAAGGTGAAGAGACTGAGCCACAGAGAGCTTAAATAATTGACACAAAGTCACACAGCTAAAGAGGCCTCATTTTGGAATCTAAAGCAAAGCATCAGAATGGTTCTGGAGCCCATGATCTTAAGAGCAGTATATTATCCTGCTTCTCCAATATAGAAAAACAAGAGATATTCCATATGCTGTGTTATGTTTTCCCCTTGTCAAAATTATTGTTTAGTATGATAGGTAAACTAAGTCTAAAATAGTGGTCTTCCATGGACCCAATAAGTTAAATCTTTTAATTTACTACTCTGTCCTCATTTCATTTTTAAACTCTGCTACGAAAGGAAGATGAATCACATCAAGATGACATATTTAGTATTCTAATTTATAATTGAGTAATATCATAAATTACACTTCCTGTTCCTTTTGCCCAGCATACAAGTGACTGTATACAAGAGATTCATCACTAGCCATAAGGGAGTTTTCTCCCTAAAGGTCAGAAGCATTTTCTCCCTACCCAAAGACTTCTCTAAAGAAGGAGTAAACTCCGAAAATAAAATCTCTTTCTCTGATTATTGGCAACGTCACCTGCTGGTTCAGTCAACCTGGAAACCTCAGTTACTTTTTAGAGGAATGACAAGATGCAGTGGTCACTGCAGAGATTCTGGAGCTTGACTCATGGGATCAGATATCAACCCTGCTATTTTTTTACTTAGGTGACTTGGGACAATTTGCCTAACTAATGACTGCATCAGTTTCCTCTTGTGCAAAACAGGAACGACTTTAGTCATTAGCATTGAATACATGCCTGGTATGTAGTATATCCTATACAAGTGTTAATTATTATTATTATTATTACTCCCTGAATCTATTTCCTTCCAAATAAATCTCACATGCTCCTATTTCTGCCTCTCCATTTCCACTGCTGTAACCTCAGGTCTTGCACTTATCCCTTCCTTCTCATGCTGTTACAATTGCCTAAAATTGATTTTGCTATGAGTCTTTCCAACTGCAATCAATTCTGAAGACATCATCAGAATAATATTCAAAAGTGAAACTTTTTGTTCACAAGATTAGCCCTCATGAAATTTTCTCCCCCCCCTTTTAATTGCCTACCAATTAAATTCAACTTTCTTGAATGGTTATCAGTATTTCCCACAACCTGGCATCAGCCTTATTTTCCACTGTTATCTGTTCTTAGGCCAACATAGGAAACGTATTCTGTTGCCAAACTAGTTATTTTACCATTCATTGAATGTAAAGTACAGCTCTTCACTTCTAAACTTTAGTATGCCATTTCCTTAACTACTCTGTTAACATTTTCCACCTTCAGTAAGATAGAGCCCAAATGCAATCTCTACGATAAAATCTTGGGCCAATGCAATTTGGAATGATATCTCCTTTATAACATTTCTAACGCTTTTTTTTCATACATTTATACCTTTTATTATTTCTCAAATTATGTGAAATGACTTTTTAAGTTTGATTAGTTTATGTCATTCTCATGATGTGACTTACCATACTCTCAGCTTTATTCACACCAGGACACATGTTATTTCCTCAAATTGAAAACAGAGTTTCCTTGAGAGTACATTTGGTCCTTCCTTCCCACTTGCTCAAGTATTACTAGCTCAGTGCCTCTCACATTTAGGACTATGCAATAAATATTAATTGAACTTAATGAAATAAAATCACTAAACAAATTCACTAGCTTTGTCTTCCAGAGACCAAATCTGGAAATTAAGAGTAGAAGTATTTGGTAAGTCCTTCATTATCAAAACTAAGAGTAATGCAGGCTCACGAAAGATGACTTATCCATTTTTAGAGCAGTAATCTTTTAAATATTATTAAATCTAATTATTTCTCACAGATAAAATGTTGCTGATGAATTGTTTCAAGACGTGAACTGAAGGGATTGGGACCAGTGGATGGCTAAAGTAGAAGATGAAGGTCGCCAAAGATTCCAAAAGAGAAAGCGTCAATGTGGCCAGTATGTTGTAAAGGATGGTGCTACAAATGCCACACACCTGAAGATGATAAAGAGGAAGAAGGATAATGGTAAGTGAAGCTGAACTCTTCATTCCAAACTTCTCTGCACTGCAGGAAGCGGCTGAAGGAGTACAAGAAAAAGTATGGCCAGCCACTTCAAATTCTGAAAAGCATAACAGAAGCATAAGATATGGTCTCCACCATTAAAAAAGGAACTTTTTCACTTCTTAAATTTTCTGTAATCAAACAGCATTTTTTTCCAAGGCAATTCATTTTTGATTGTTGGGTGGTCCCATTGACAATATAAAGCATTTGTTATTTCTTTTATTTGAAATTTAATCATAAAATATTCATTTATTAAAGCCTTTTTATGTATGA